AAGCAAAGAGGATCACTGAATTTTGTGTTTGCACTCAGATCTCATGTTTGAATAATACACCACCATAAAAACTGTGTGCTGTGTATGTTATGTATATCCAAGACAGGAAGCAGACAAATAAAAGCTCTTTGAAAAACAATAGTTGTATTAATATTAGTCGTACTTGAAACACATTGTAACAGGTACCGCATTGAAAATAATTTCATTGTCACATTAAGATAGTGAGTTTAAGGAAGGTAGCTGGTATTAGTGTGGTATTACCTTCTTTCCTTATGTTATACATGGCTTCGTGCAGTGCCACGAAGTGATACCTGAGCTAGTTGCAGACATGCCAGATTGGATTCTAGATACGCTATTTGCTCCTTGACACTTGACTCACGCTGATCAGTTCTTTGGGGAAGCTGGGGGTGTTTATCTGTGTGAGCCAGCATGCTAGTGGAGCTGTTTCTACTTGCTTTTGATACAGAGTCACCCAGAGCTAGCTCGGTCATTGTCACGTGGCACTGTCTTCTACTACAGTGTAGATGTGTCCTTAGGAAGAATTGTCTTATTTCAAGGCACTTTTGGGGGGTTTGGATTGGAACTGGGGGTCCCGGAGTTTTTGTTTTGTTCCTGAAATACACGCCTGTAAAGGGATAGGTACCAGAGAGGGAAGTTTGTCCTCTGTAGTACCTGTGTTTGACACTTTGCATCTCTGCCTTGTCTGAAAGCTGCTGCAGTCTTCCTATCTACGTGGCTACTAATCAATACAGAGTGCTTGGTACTATTTAGTCAATCTTATCATTTAGATTTTCCTAGTTCACATGTATTGAACATGCTATTGCTTTCTCATTTGGCAATTTCGTACTGGCTGTTCCAGAAGCAGCCTGCAGATGTTGGAGCTCAGAGATCTCCCTGATGCACACTCACAGGAAGTTCTGGACAAGCACAGAGACAAAATTTTAGGTGTCTGTGATACTTCTTTGGTCGCTGTTTAAACATCACTTCCTCCATGCTCAGGAGCGGTGCATCCCCCTGAGAAAGAAATCGAGCAAAGGAGGCAGGAGACTTGCATGGTTAAACAAGGAGCTTCTAGCAGAGATCAGGTGGAAGAGAAAGGTCCATGGAATGTGGAAAGAGGGGCAGGCCACTTGGAAGAGTACAGGAACGTGGTGAGAACATGCAGGGATGCGACGAGGAAGGCCAAAGCCCATCTGGAATTGAAGCTGGCAAGGGATGTCAAAAACAACAAGAAGGGCTTCTTCAACTACATCAGCAGCAAAAGGAAGGCTAGGGACAATGTGGGGCCGCTGCTGAATGAGGCGGGTGTCCTGGTGACGGAGGATGCGGAGAAGGCAGAGCTAATGAATGCCTTCTTTGCTTCAGTCTTCAGTGCTAAGACTGGCCCTCAGGAATCCCAGGCCCCGGAGGTAAGAGAAGAAGCCTACAGAGAGGATGACTTTCCCTTGGTCGAGGAGGACCGTGTGAGGGATCGCTTAAGCAATCTGGA